CCGGCGTCCACGGCTGCTTGTTTCTTCTTCGGAGCAGCCTTCGCTTTCTTCTTTTTCCTGGGAGCCACGCTGATAGGCGTCGGGTCTAAAGGCCGGGAGGTGCTGGCTTCTCGAGCATTGCGTGCGGGGAGGATGGCGACGATGACCATTTGCCTCTCCTTCTCCTCCTCCTCCTCCTCCGCAGTCTGAACGGCGAGGGCTAGCTCCTCGTCCTCGTTCACCTGCTCAAATTCTTCAGCCTCGGCTTCAGCCCTGAGGTCCTTCTCCACCTCCATCGCGACAGCGGAATCACAGTTCGACGAGGCCTCATCACTCGAAGGCTCCACATCAGATACGCTCATTAGTTCAGCCGACGGCTCCCTCAAAATATCTTGAGAATCACTCGAAGACGACATTCCCGGTAAGGCGTTTGGACACTAGATCTATGGGCAGCACACCAAAAAATTCTAAGGGAGTGAAGAACAGATGAAGAGCTGACCTCAGAAGCGGTTTTTGATCGAACGTGCACTTTCTCTCTCTAGAAATATTTCGGCAGAGCTTCGCTACAATATGATCGCACAAGGGATGGTTTCCGGCCTTGAGGGTATTTATAGGCCTCCTACTCCGGGCTTGGGCCAAAAAACTGGGCCCCCGATGGGAAAATCATCATTTCACGCCTCCTCCTCCGCCAACCATTGACGCCCGCCCGAGGACAGCCAACGAGCACGCCCCACGTGGAAGCCCTCTCCAACGTTCATATTCCAACGGCTATATTCTGAAAACCCGGATGTGCCCCTCGGTAAAACGCCCTTCGTGCAACAAATGAGCCAACCCTCGGACTATCATATTCATAATCCTTCATCAAGAGGAACCCCCAGCATCAAAATGGGAGAACCCCTCGGGAACCTGTAACCCTCAAAGGTTGACAACCAGGGAACCTCCCTCGGCAATACAGGAACTATTGTCTACATTCACCACGCCCTCAGCCCTCGATAACTGGGGGACTACCCTCGACAGTCCCCGGAATACTCACTCATGCTTATCAACTACAGACACCTTCGGAGGAGTGCTCCCAGCACTCACTCCCCTCGGCATCACCAGGACACCAACGAGGAGCCTTCGGCAAAATCAGTGAACCCTCAGATCACGGATAGCTCTCGGCGGCAACATTGCTCTTCATCTCAAACCAAAGGCTCACCTTTTTGATTCATCATTGGGGGAATTCGGTGCACTCTTTTTCCCTCATTAGGATTTTTTCCCAAAGGGTTATTCCTAATGAGGTTTTTAACGAGGCATCCCCCCAAAATGAAACAAAAAGAGTCAGGCCCTCGGCCCTGTGCTAATAACAGGCACTACGCTACTCCTTTTTCACCACATTACATGTGCCTCAAAGAGTGGGGGACTAGAGGACCCCTTCGGGAAATTCACAAAAATACAAAATGTCAAAATTTTCCTTCGGTCCCAAACTGTGGGGGACTGAGTGAGTGCCCTCGGCAAACACGCAAGTGCAAAACTCCTCACCACTTTTACAAATGATAACAAAGCAACACCAGAGGACAAACGCAATTACTCTTTTTCCCTCAAACACCTTTCGGCAAAAGGAGTGAGGGACTCCTGATGGAGCATATGGCCCAGAAACCCCCGGCCCATAGACTCCTACTATTCTAATACAGGTCCAAGACGCACAACAGGCCCAAATCACAGCGGCTCCAAGTAACAGGAAGCCCACGACACACATATATACGCCTTCGGCCCGCTGGCCGAAGGCGCCAAAATCTCACGGGACAATTGATTATGGGCATACGAAGCTACTAGGAGAAAATGGCGAAATCAGTAGCCTTCGGCACTAGGAGCCCTCGGTACTAGGAAGCCCCCGGTACGAAGAGCCTTCGACCTGTCATCTAAGCCGAAGGCATCCTCATCGACAGAATATCCTCTCCGCATGCGTTTGAATCGCCGTATCAAGTACAACGTCACATCCAACCAACGCATTTAATGCGGCCACATGCGAATGCCGGTGCCACCCCGATTGAGGTGGCCCTCGGCCGTCAAATGCTTGACACGTGTTCCTGTCTAGCATTTATTGCTTCTATAAATAGCACCCCTTTCCCCATTTGTAAACCACGCCTTGAATACACAACTCATATATTCGAATTCACTCTCTCTCTTGCTTATTTTGCTCTAACTTCTCTCTAAGTTACTCCCTGCAGTAACCCCTCGGATAGATACCCACGGGTACACTATCCATCAATTGTATTTTATAAGTGTGAAGTGTTCAACCACCCAAAATTTATTTAGTTTCTATGAATTTTTGTCATTTTTTCATTTTTTCCACTTAGTTTTCTAAAATTATGAATTTTTAAGTGTAGGTATAGAGCATAAAGTTGACACACTAATGGATTTTCAATCTTCCTTGTGCAATCCGTTAGTATTTTTGAATGATGCAATCAGTAGTCGTTACTTAAAAAGTAGCTATGGTGGTGATGGTCTATTGTTGAAAAGAAAACCATTCTTAGTCCGTTTTTGAAAGAAAGTTGAGGAAGTGAAAAAAGTGATATTTTTTTACTTTTTGGGCTGTTTGTGAAAAATTCCCTTAGATTTTAGAGTAGGAATAGATTGAGACTCAAAAGCTTGATTCATTCTAGAATATGATATCCTATTTATACAACCTTTTATAAGGTAGGCTACCTTATTAGAGTCTAATAAGGTAGGCTACTAATAATAATATTAAATACAAGATTTGTAACTGATTTATAATATTAAATACAAATATTTCTAATTTATTGTGCAGCTTATGTAACGGTTCTCTGGAGCTGTCTAGACTTTTCTATATGCCCCCGCAAGCTAGATATTCTATCAGTGCTGAGAATCTTGAGCTTGTCACGTAGAAAAACAAATTGTTGTCGTGAAAGGGGTTTGGTGAGAATGTCAGCTAGTTGATCATGTGAGGGGATATGAAGGACTCGGAGGAGACCACGTTGCACGCGTTGATGGACAAAATGGAAATCAATGGCAACATGCTTCATGCGGGAATGAAATACATGATTGGTGGAAGAGGTGGTAGCACCTTTATTATCACATAGAAGAACCAGAGGGGAAGTAGGTGAATGTCGGAGCTCATGAAGAAGTGACTCAATCCAGAGTGTTTCGGATGCAGCAGTGGAAAGAGCCCGATACTCTGCTTCGGTATAGGATTTGGCAATTGTACGTTGCTTGGATGATTTCCAGGAAATAGGTGACTCCCCGAGAAAAATAGCATAGGTAACGATCTGGAGCCCTGCGAACGGCCATAGCTGCGGAAACGCTACTCTCACTCTTCTCTTCGACAACAGTTGTGTTCGCAGTTACGATGGCGGTGGTGGGATTCAAAGCTTCTTTCCTGCGCATCTTATCTTCGAAACCGACGAGTAACGAGTGCATATCTTCAAATGTAACCTCATCTGGGCGAATGGTATTCTCCATAGCTTCAAACTCAGGACGAAGACCTTCCGGAGCTTGAATGGCAAAGTCCTCGTCGTCAACTAGTCGCCCGGCCATGGCGAGTTCATCTGCAAGTGTGCGAAGGTGATGAAGGTATTCGCTGACAAGTTGAGAGCCTTGTTTCATATGGTGGAACTGATCTTTGAGACTTCGGATTTTGGAGGCTGACCGAGTCTCGTATAGATGTTCCAGGGTCTTCCATACGGAAGCAAAGGTCTTGGAAGATCCAACTAGGGGCTTGCAAGCTGAGCTGAGAGATGAGACCAGGGCATGCCGCAACAGACAATCATGTCTGTTCCAACGGAGAAGGTTGTATGCTTCATTTTTGGAGGGGGATTGGTGTTTTCATCAATGTACTGATCCAGGTGAGCACCGAACAGAAGGTCCATCACTTGGTCTCTCCATACAAGGTAATTGGATCCATCTAATTTTTCTGGGAACCGACTGGGGTTAAGCATGATAAGGCCATCTGGGGTTAGGGGTTGTTGAGTGAGAGTGGTGGGTTTGAGTTACCCTGAGAATCTTCTCTGTTTTCTTCAGTAGCCATGGCAGACGCTTCTGTGATAAAACTGGCTGGTTAGAGCTCTGGAGGCTCTGATACCATATTAGATTTTAGAGTAGGGATAGATTGAGACTGAAAAGCTTGATTCATTCCAGAATATGATATCCTATTTATACAACTTTTTAGAGTCTAATAAGGTAGGCTACTAATAATAATATTAAATACAAGATCTATAACTGATTTATAATATTAAATACAAATATTTCTAATTTATTGTGTAGCTTATGTAACGGTTCTCTGGAGCTATCTAGACTCTTCTATACTAACCACCCCAAATCTCAAAAGGGCAGTCATATGTAGTAGTCTTTGACTCTGAACTTAGCAATATTTTTGGTTGAATTTAGTTTTTATTCTAATAATGTACTGTTGAATCTATCTACCATAAGTATGTGGGTAACTTCTTCTCTTTAAATTTTTTGTACACATTCATATGCAGCATCAACAAGCTTTCCAACTTCATGCAGACGAAAAAAGTGTGGAAAAAGAGTAAGCTATTCTTACTCATTACCTATCAATTAGCATCTGTAATTGAAGAGCCTTGTATTTCGAAGAAGAGCAGAACTTCAGCTTCTCAAGAATAGCTTCTACTCAAACTCCGAGATTCCTGTTTCAAGATCGTCATACAGAAGGTAAAGTTTGTGTTTTGAGATCGTCAATCATTTTCATCATTTTCATTTACCCCAATGCCGCAAAGGCTGCCACCTACGGTGGGGATCGTCAATGAGAAGGTAAAATTCATGCTTGGGTATCGTCATTGAAAAGGTAAAGATAATTTAACGAATCTTAGATATGGGACATACATTATCATCCAACAGTTTAAATTAGATTACTCATCCCGAAGTTCATACCTGATCAACACTGTGAATGTGTACATATATAGATACATGTAAATGTACAGCTACCTGATTGCCTAGCACAATATCAGAACTGATGTAGCACAATTCATTCACTACATACATGGATTGATTAGAGATAGAGGGAAACAAACACGCATGGGAAAGGAATAAACCCAAATACATTCCACGAATTTTTATTTTTTTGACAGATTGTACAAGGAGGCCAATTATGTGAATAAAAGATTGTCACATATTTATTACAAAAACAAAAAGGGATTAAAAGTCGAGCGATTTTATCTATTCAGGAATATAAGAGCATTTTCTGTTTGCAAACACTTGCAGGATTTGCAGGCAACCATTCCAAGGCTGATCATTTTCTTTCTCCATACCAGGTTTCATCAGTTCATTGTAATGCAAAACAAATTGGCATGGATGATGATGCATAAGGAACAAGTTGAAGCAATCTGAGTCAAATGCACCAATTTGGATTTCGCAATAAGATCTGCTGGTGATTCCAATGAGTATACAAGGAAGAAAACCCAGACAATTGGATTAGTCATACTTCTCCCTCCAAGAGTATACAAGGAAGAAAACCCATGAAAGTCCCAAGGCAAGATCACCGACCACCAGCCTCAGCCAATCACGGCCGAGATCCTCCAGCTTCCTCTCGAAGTAGATCCTCCAAACTGCCATCAATACATGGAGAAGTATACACCCCTTTGCAAAGAAGCTATGGAAATCCTTATCCTTTACAAATGCAACCATGAACAAGAAAAACCCAATTGCAAACAAAAGCAATCCTGAAAATGAATCTGATGTTTGGATTATTAGCTGATCATGATATGTTGATCCTAAAAGCTTGCTGGCACGCTCTTTTCCATGGCTCATCACCAGCAGATCATTGCTATAGAACATCATCAAAGCTCCACAGCTTAATGCTACCAGAGAATGCAGCATACACAGAAGAAAAAAACCAGATGATCCCATTGATCTGTCCCCTTCCAATTTTCCTGAACAGTGCTTTTTCAATCTTAACTGCACAAAGAGTAGAACCCAGTCATCAAATTCCTGGTCTTTTTAACCCCCAGACAAGTGAAGTAAGTGATTACATAGTGGTCAAATGTAAAGATATGAACTCACATATAAGTCCTTGAGCTATAGCTGCTATTCAAGTCCTCATATGATATAAGATCCAATTAAGTTGAAACAAATAATCGATTTGACTAAATCTCAAAATGAGAAAATGTAATTCTGTATTGATCTGTTCTAACAAACCACTACCTTACGAGAGATGTTAAGTCATTATTACCAGCCTTATGTAAAGATGTATTCATACAAACTCAGATATAGTCTTCCCATCAAATACTGATTAGGTTGACTTCTAGGATGCAATTATGCAAGTAATGCAACCCCAAACTTTAAGTGATAGATGATCAAATCATCAAATACAGCCCTAATAGAATACAATAGAAAGAAGATTGCATAAACCCAAGGATCAAATTCCAAAACCTCAGATTTTATTTTACTTTCGGACAGGATATTCGCCAACAATTTAACTCAGAAAACAAGTACCTCTGAGCTACGAAGGAGCAACCTTGGAGGCTGCCCTACTGACTTAAAAAGACGGTCCGGAAATACAGCATAAGGGGCAGAAAGAGATGCCCAAAACTGCCTTGCCCTTTTCAACTAAGACAAGAAAAGGCTTCAGATCCAAAATCCCAGAACTCTGTAGGTGAAGCTAAGAAGGATTGAGCGAAGAATCTGAAAGCGGTTCATGGGAAGAGAGTATAGCACTCTGAGAGAGGTAGAGAGAGAGCAACAGAGGTAGGGTGCTGGGTTTTCTTGAGAGTACCGAGAAATCAAGATATGTTGGTGGGGTTGATCTTGCCGTTACTTTCTTGATAAAATCTTAACGTTTTCTTGCTACCCAAAAATAGGCTAGTCTAGATTTATGCCATTTCACGTTTCATTTACAACATCTTGGATGGTACGATTGTATGATGCACATGTGGCATATGAGAGATAGATACAAAAAATTAAATATATGACATTTCTTTCTCCTTCTTTCCACGGTTTTGTGTGTTTTTGGTAAGTTTTCTCAATAATGGTAATCACAATGTCTACATCTAGACATTGTGTTTGACATTGTAGAGAAAAACTTACCAAAAACATATAAAACCGTTCAAATACGGAGAGAGATATTCTATTCGTTATTTTTTAATTGGCTATCTTTCATGGCACGTATGCATCGTTCATGTTTTTGCATTGGAGCGGTGAAAAGATTAAATGAATGATCAAGGATCGAAACTCGCTGACTATCGTGTGAAGGTTATAGTTCATGTGTGTTGGGTTGAACCTTTATTGTCCACGAGTATAAAGCTTATCATAGTTAGATTAATTGAGTCAGCGTGATTTACAACATCTCATATACTATCGTATTATGTTGGATCAGGTCATGAGGGCCTTGGATTGAGGATTCAACAGTTTATATTTTATGGAGATTAAGTAAAAAAAGTGTTTATAAACAGTTGAAGTATAAAGAAGTAAGAAGTAAAATGAAACTATGTTTGGCGGGCATAAATTCCTGTCTTCTAGCTTTTGTACTATTTAAAAAATTTTAAAAAACTTCTATTGTATGTTTGGCATGCCAATTTTTAAGAGTTTTTATAAAAATAAAAGATCATGTTTTGAGATGCTACAGTGAGTAGTATCTCAGATAAGTCTGTAGCTTCTAGCATTAATTACTCCTAACAACTTGTATACCAAACAAAGTTAAATCAAACAGTCGACTTTTTACCAAACAGCTACAACCTTTTCTTTTTAAGATCTTTTCAGTCATTAAAAGCTAACAGTTACTAAAAAACTCATAAAAATATCTTTTCAGCTAGTTGTGCCAAACATACCCGAAGAAGACAAGAATAAGATCTTATCCGACTCTTCAATAAAAATAGACGAAACGTATGAATGAAAAAAGATGAAAATCGAAATAAACCTTACCAAAAATAGAAATGAAATAATTAGAAGACAAGATAAATAATAAAATAGGGGATGAGCTTCAAAAGTAGACAATTAATTGAATTGATTGTTGAGACATGATAATGTCATCATCATTACATGAGGAGAAGTAGTCGTCTTCTACCGGTGTAAAAGTCATTCGTAATTGGGAAAATTAATCAACATGAAAAGGAAGCCACCCATCTACATTTATGTATGAGAAGACCATTTGCAACTTAAATGGGTAGAATATAAAGCATCCAAATTTGCTTCTATTAACAAAGCTAAATAAATGGATACTAGTCATCTCTTTTCACTCACCCGACCTACGAGCTAAATAAGACTATGTTTGGCACAACGAGATGAAGCTAGAGGCTAATGTCTGAATTGGGAGCTATTGTCTGAATCATAGACTATTGTCTGAAGTTGAATTATCAAGTACTAGATCTGAATTACTAGCTGAATGGAGTAAACCCATTTAGCAAAAAGAGCTGAAAAGGTACGGGATAATATGAAATTACATTAAAGGACGTTTTATTTAATTCTTCAATATTTTAATTGAATTAAAATATTAGAAAAATAGAAATATTCAGAAAAGTTTGAGTCAAAAACAAATAAACATCCATATCAAACTAAATTTTGATATCCATTCATTAATGTGAGGAATACATATAACAGGTATACATACATATTGATTTAGGTAATTTACCAATTTAGAATATTTTTCCATTATTGACTTGAAAACAAATATTTTCAACTATATTTCATGGAATTGACGTGGGTATCCAGAAAAAATCATCAAAAGGAATTTGAAACAGAGCATAATTTATTGTGGGATGGAAGTGAAACTTGTATCTTGTATTGGTACAAAGATTTATCAGGTGAAAGAAAATTTTGTGGCATGGCTAGTGCAGAGAAGCGATTGGTAGTGAAGAGTGATGGAGAATGGCATTTAGCAATTATTATAAAATCAAGAAAAAAACTATAGTAAAAAAAGGTGATGTGTGCAAAAGACGTACCAAAGTAGAAGAGAAGCAGGTTGTGAGGTTATTCCCGTAACACAAGTGCAATGTAGAATCGGCTGAACACTGACGTTTAGATCACTACCGTTGTAATTCAGCTCAACTTTTCTCACTTATGCTTTGGCTATGTTCGGTATGCTCCTTCAGCTAATAAATGGGCTGAAATATTTTCAATTCAGTCCATTATGATTAAAATAATCATGTTTGGTTGATGGGCTGAAAGTGGCTTAAGCTGAAAATAATAGGCTGAAATCAAGCGCTTAGACCACCAACGTTTATATTCAGCCTTATATTTCTAGACTTTTTGTTCTCATACTATCCTTAACGCAAGATACTTCACTCCTCCAAATTCTATTACGTATATGATGTAATTTAATCATCACGTCATCACCATACTTCATTTTAATTAACTCAATCGTTGATAAATCATTTTTCTATAAAATTGTTTCATTGTTTTAAAAGTGGCTTTAAAACGTCTCGTAATTCTTTTTACACATATGACTTGTCAGGTTATATTCTAGAGGGAGATTTACATTGAAATTTGTACGACAAAAATAGTGCATTACTGCATCCAAAATGTTATTCTTTACTTGATATATTCAAAAATATACAAAATCATTACACTACGTAGTACAAGTATATTATTCTTTTATTTAATCAAATACCCTTTAATGTTATTTTGTATTATCCAGACACTTTTTTAGCTCCTTATGTCAAACGGGTCTACTTCATTCAGTTAGTAATTCAGATTCAGTACTTCAAAGTTCAGCTCCAGACAATAAATTATAGTTCAGACAATAGCCCCTATTTCAGACATTAGCTTTCAGTTTCAGCTCGTTGTGCCAAACATGGCCTTAGTGACTGAATTTTAAGAATTTCATCCCATTATGAGCTGAAAGCTCATGCCAAACATAGCCCAAAAATCAAAAGTTAGAACGGACGGTATTATCTAGTATCATAGTAGTGTGAAAATGGTTCAGGATTGAATAGCACTTCTAGTCACGTAAAATACTTCGTATACGTTTTCTTAAAAGTTTGTTATCTACCTTTATCACATTAACCGGATTACAACATTGAACTTTTGGGATAAAAAGAATATGTGTGATGTATTTTAGTTATCGATAAAATAACACCGAACAAGTGATTATATATTAAAAAAGTCTAAATATCTTATTACTAATACTGTGGATAAGAGTAAGAGAGTGGGGCAATGGTTGATGTTGTTACCCTCAATTCATCATGGTCCCTTAGTTTATAAATGGAATTGTGACCCTTTGGAATGAGCCAATATTTATTTCAATCGAAGTGTACATGGAGATTATGCCATCTTTAAAACAACGCAAAGATGTTTCATGGAGATTATTGCCTCCAAGTCCTCGAGGGTGGGGCATCCGAGGATGATGTTGTGGGTGTAGTCGAGTGATGGATAGTGTACTCGGGGTAGCTTATCCGAGGGTTATCGCGGAGAATAACTAGAGAGAAGTCAGAGCGAACAAGTAAGAGAGATAGTCAAATGTATTAAATGAACTCAACGTGCTTTACAAGGTGAACAAGGGTTGCTATTTATAGCAGCCATAAATGCGATGAGAGTACACGTGTCAACAATCTAACGGTCGAGGGGTCACCTCAATCGGGATGGCACCGGCATACGCATGTGCACCGCATTAAATACGGTGGGTGGATGTGACGCCACACTAAATGCGGTCGTTGCTTGTCTCCCAGTAGGTTTGTATGCCTAAAATCAGTTGTCCTGTGAGATTTTGGAGCCCTCAGCCATGGGGCCAAAGGCACCCGTATGTGCATCGTGGGCTTCTTGACACTTGAGCCGTTACGCTTTGGGCCTCTTGTGCTTCTTGGGCCTGTGTTAGAGTAGTAGGAGTATGTGGGCCGGGGGTGCCTGGTCCATATACTCCATCAGGAGTCCCTCACTCCTTTTGTCGAAAGGTACTTGAGGGAAAAGGAGTAATTTGCATTTGTCCTCTAGTGTTGGCGTTTGCTTCGTTGTAGTTTGTAAAGTAGTGAGAGGTTTGTGTTGCGTGATTTGCCGAAGGCAGTCCTTCAGTCCCCACATTTTGGGACTGGAGGATTATGTTGGTGTTGTGGGAAAACTTTTAACTTTTTGTGATTTTCCCGAAGGGGTTCTCCAGTCCCCCACTCCTTGAGGCACATGTAATGGGGTGAAAAGGAGTAGTGTGGTGCCTGTTTTCACCAAAGAGCTGAGGGGGTAGCTTATCTGAGGGTTATCGCGGAGAATAACTAGAGAGAAGTCAGAGCGAACAAGTAAGAGAGAGAGAGTCAAATGTATTAAATGAACTCAGCGTGCTTTACAAGGTGAACAAGGGTTGCTATTTATAGCAGCCATAAATGCGATGAGAGTATACGTGTCAACAATCTAACGGTCGAGGGGTCACCTCAATCAGGATGGCACCGGCATGTGCATGTGCACCGCATTAAATGCGGTGGGTGGATGTGACGCCGCACTAAATGCGGTTGTTGCTTATCTCCAAAGGGAATCTTCGATGTTTGTGTTGTAGCCGAAGGCTCCCTTGTGGCTGGGGGCTCTATGTAGTCGAAGGCTACCCAAGTGCCGAAGGTGTGCATGAGCCGAAGGCGTGCATGAGCCGAAGGCTCCCTGATTTCCGGCGTCTTCTCCCAGTAGGTTTGTATGCCTAAAATTAGTTGTCCTATGAGATTTTGGAGCCCTCGGCCATGGGGCCGAAGGCACCCGTATGTGCACCGTGGGCTTCTTGACACTTGAGCCGCTGCGCTTTGGGCCTCTTGTGCTTCTTGGGTCTATTGGGCCTGTGTTAGAGTAGTAGGAGTATGTGGGTCGGGGGTCCCTAGTCCATATACTCCATCATCGAGGTTGACGACGACGAA